CTTGGGTGACATTTCATTTGGACAGTGAAACTAGAATCTTAAGATATGTAAAAGTCTAATCACATGAGTGTGACTGACTTCTAAAGTCTTCGATTTCCCTACCCTGGCTCTCCTTGCCAGGAAAAAAATACTGTTCTTTTTGTGTTAAGTTCTTTAGCATACAAGATACTCATGGTAACCCTGGAGGGTGTAGTCTGCTATTTACAAATTAAAGACGCAGTGGATGCCATTCCATATTGCTTATGTTGCCCAAAATTTCCATCAGTATACTACAAGAAAGTGAACAAGAACTTCCATTCTGTGCTTTCCCACCTCCTCTTTGAGATATTCAGCAACTGTACTTATTTTAACAAATTTTTGCTGATGGACAGTAGCTAATTACATGCTGACAGAGTTTACTGCCATTTAGGAAAAAAAATGAGACAACCTCCCCCAAGTGATGACATGTGCGATAGGAAGAAATAAAATGGATGAATTTCTTTTCTTTAGTAGTTGATCCTCTCATTTCTCATCATAGTGTCTGAGAACAATTTGAAAGGGAAGTTTTCACACAGATATCAAAAGCTAATACGATTAAGGCAAGGATTGTAAACAGACTTGGATTACTTTTTCATTAGGGTTGACTGTGTCAAGTTTGCTGTGTGTTTGTAGGAATTCCTGGGCAGCTGAGTGAACATCAGGGAATGACTTTTTTGTGCTCCAGTGCCCTAACTGGAGAAAGTTGACCCTGAGAAAGACATTGATCCATCTTTCCATTAAAACTCGGGTAAACAATGATGTTTAAGTGTCACTTTTTTATCAAAGCATACTAAGGCAGTGGGACTGTAGAACCAGTTTTTAAACCCTAACCTCATTGAAAACAGCCTTATTTAAGTCAAAGTATGTTAATGCTGATTTGCTGGAAACAACTGTAGTAAAATGCAAATATCCAGAAGTAAAGCACATCATCCACAAACATTAAGCCTTTAAAAGAGGGGGAATAAGTTGGCATCTGTGCAGAGAACTTGCTTTTCTGAATCTATCATTGTTATCAAAAATGAGCGTTACCAAGTACTTCTTGCTCACTTCTAAACACACAGAAACTATATTTTCCAAGATTGCAAGATTCATAAACTGAGATACCTGTTTAAGAGTAGCCACCAGACCCCAATCTTTGATTTGTTTCCTTTGTCTTCTTGATGTGTTTAGTTACAGAGTTCTTGAGATTTCCTTTCGCTTTGTAATATACTTGTCTTTTTTTTTTTTTTTTTCCCCTCCATACAATACATTTTAATTGTTGCCTTAAAAAAACATGTTCTTTATATGTGCAAGGTTTTGGTTCCTGCTTGGTCATGCTAGTCTGCAAAGATGTTCTCATCTTGTTTGGTTTTCATAAAATTCACAGGTAGTTTTCAAAGGGGGCTTCAGATGTCATGTTTCATGAGATGTGTTTTTTTGGGCAACCTTACACCAGTAACTATAGTTTTGCATGTCAGAAGAACCCTTTCAGGTTATGGATGACTGCATAAATTCTCTTACTGTTTCTCATTGCTGAACTAATAATACGTTTTATTTCTACCTTTGAGTCAGATTCTAAGTAGTTGAAGCATGGCTTAATTTTATCAGGATATGATAGTTTCTATTACATTAACTTTCAAGATAACAAAAGTAATCTCAATTTAACATTATAATCCAAGTGCAGTAACTTCAAAGAAATACTCAGTGAGAGGTGAAGGTCTGTAAGGGGAAGAAACTCTAGTTGAAAAGTTAAGCATTGTTAATGTGTGTTCAGTGCTGGGTAATATTGCATTGAAGCTAGACTTCAACGTTTGTTGTTTCAGGTTAAAATTATACTGTTTTGAAGGCAGAGTTTTGGGTGGGCTTTAATTTTCAGGTTAGCTGCATTCAAGCATCTACATCTTAGTAAAATTTCTGAAAGCAAACATGTTGTGTAACAGGAAGAGCTAAAGGCACATGGAGTAGATTTTGGATAGGGGACTTCTTAACTATTCCTAGGATAAACTTTGACTCTACATTTAAAGTCAGGCAGGCATTTAAAAATAGTGATATTTCATCTTTTAATACAATTTTGGGGAGGTAAGATATAAGATGTCTTACATTTCTGCTTAACATCAAAGTTAACTCTCAATCTAGAAAGCAACTCAATGGCAGAAAAAACCCACAACCATATAATTCAAAACAAACCCCCATTTGGTTTCCCACAGGTAACCTGATAGCAGTAGCTGCTTTCTTCAGACCAATAAACCTTGCACCAAACTGTAGCATGAAATAGCTTGCTTGTATGAGATTCTTCTCAGTAGTATGACTTCCATCTATATATAGATAGAAAAGACAAATTAGATATGGCAGCCATATTAAATTAAAGTTTTAGGAGATGTATGTTGCAGGGCCTTTCTTCCATCAAGTGTGGTGTTAGGTATATTTCACTCCCTTTTCTTATACCAATAAAGCTTTTTCTCATACATAAAAATAAATATAGTTAAAAAGAAATGCAGCTGAGCCTTCAATAAACATCTTAAAGCCCCTTTCTCATTCACACTTAGCTAAGATCAAAGCTGCAGACATAGGTGCAGATACACTGTATGGAAATAGAATTACTTCATCTTTTAGCATTTCAATGCAACTTCCTCGCTTTTTTCTTTAGAATTTCTTGAGTACTCAAGACTTGTATTGTCCATTTGCACAAGGGTGAACTTTATACCTTATGTATATTTTTATTATGAATGTTATATAATGTCAGCTCTTTAGGATTATTTATACCAAAGGGCTTACTCCTCCATGCCCAGCATGCAGTAAGCTCTTCAACTGTGCCTGAATAATGGGTCCAGCAGTTTTTTCCGGCTCTGGGGTATGCAAATGCCTTTTAGGTGCTTCCAGTCTGCATGGGGATGAGACACAGTTGTACACCATTTCTTACCAGACCTCTCCTACATGGAGAGGAAATTTAGGATCTTGGCCAAGTGGGTACTGTGGAAGACGCCAGTAGATCCCTCTTCTGCACAATTAGGCCACCAGGATTCTGTGAAGCTCTAAAAATGTATCGTTCAGTTTAAACATGCTTTTTTACCCCAAACGCAGCTGAGCAGGAACTTAAAATGAGACATTTTAACTTAAAGACTGAATTTGAACTTTCCGTGCATATCCAAGGTAAACTCAAGCCAGACTATTTTAGTCTTCCCATACATTGTATCGAAGAATTCCTACCCTGTATACAATTTTGGGTTCCTCGAAAGGTATTTTAAAAGGGTAGGAGAGTTCGCAAAAGTGCCGAAAGAATGGTAGGAGTTCTACAAAGCCTCTCTTGTAGTGGGAGGAGTAATAATCCCAGTTTACAAACTGTAATGAAGGCAAGGCTAAGAGTCACTTCAGGAGAGTCCTGATGACCTTAGGGGATAGTTTTCTGAGAGCAGATAATTTTTTAAGATTGCAGAAATAGATAAAATTATATTCCGTGGCTGGAAGTTGAGACTAAGCAAATTCAAACAAAGTATAAAGAATGAATTCTTAAATCTTCTTCATGGATTAAGCATCCTCTTTAAATCCATATTTTTAAAGGACCACTATGGTGCTTTTAGTAAATAGGGACTGAAAATGGAAGGTATTTGGTAATTCCATTTCCTGTGATATGAAACGTTGTGGTCAGGCTGAAAGAGCTTCTGACTTTACAGCTCTGTTAATGTAATTTCTTCTCTTGAAATTGTCCAGCAAGCTTCATAGCTTTTTGTTTCTACTTTTTTGTGTGTGCGAGATTTATAGAAAATCAAATGAGATTCTGAAAACAAATAACATCGCAGCACTGCAGCAAGTGGCTTATCCTAATGTCATAAAACACATAACTTTCCTCTGAGTTAAATGAGAATACACTACTATTTATTTTTACAATTAAACTTCAGCATTTCAGCAGAAACAGGCATTTTTCAGAATGCTTTTACCATGGAAAATGTATCAGTCACCTTTCCAAATACATTTTGACAAATATTACCCTGCTCTAATGTGTTGGAGAACGGCTTGCAGAGAGCAAGGCCATGGGTCTCTGCAGAAGCTGATTGCAGCCATCTGAGGTAAACAAAGGAAAAAACCCAGGGTACAGTTATGCTAACAAAGGACTGTTATGTTAACAAAGAGAGAAACTGAGGTACATTATGACCTTGGGGGTGATAGCTAACAGCCCTGGGAGAAAAATATGTTCAGAAGAGAAGGTGTTTATGCATACCTGAAATGCCACAAGGGGCTGGGATATTATAATGTAGCTTTTTACATGTATCCAATAGATTTGTGAGTAGTATGCATGATTATTGTAGAGTGCTTATATAAGGTGTGATTTCTTTCAATGAAGTTGAAGCTTGCTCTATCATTCACATTGAATCGGCTGCTTGCTTCCTCCGCCCACCGCACTCATGTATTGGTCAGGGTCAGTCATCTTGAAATATCATCATCCACTACCATATTAAGCATGGCCCTATATGATTTCCTGTGACAGAAAACTTTCTGAAAGGGTGAGTGTTCACAAATGTTTAAAAGATGGCAGCTCTACTCCAAGCAGTTTATAGACATGTATTGAGCTCAGGAGACTAATCTATAGTGTCCCTATTCTGCAAGTTTCAGTTAGCCTTCAGCTGGGTAAACTTTGAGATATCTCCTGAGTAAAGAATGAATGAATGAACAAAATTTAGAAATAAGTTTTTCAAAAAAAGAAGGGAAGTCCATTAACTAAAGCAGTAATCCTGGACTGCAGATCTAGGTTCAGGTTCCTTTTTCTATATGAGGACTTACATGGGATCCTTGACAAGTTTTTTGTCCTCCTTAGCTACATCTGTACTATGCTTCCAACAGTGCATCCCACTCTGCAGATCCGTTGTGTGCCCAATAAACATTTTAACTCCCTGTATGCCCACCATTTCCATTTTTCTTAATATTCACAAAGAAGTAGCTTAGATACTTACCTGCAAAGAAGCTCTGGCGCACTGCAGACAAGTGCAGGTCAGGTTGCCTGACCCATCATGAGCCTGGGAGACACAGTGAAGTTCAGTGGAGGTGAAGTGCAGCAGCCGTATCTATTCCTGTGTCTCCTGTTGTTGCTCCAGAGGGCTGTGATTGTGAACTATTCCAGGGGTATTAAGCTACACTGGCATTTTAATGTATACTGTATTGGTCAGCAAATCAGGTTTTTTTTATGGTTTCACGGAATCACAAAATGATTAAGGGAACCATGAAAGGGACATCTGGAGGCCAGCTTATACAACCGCCTTGCCCAAACAGGGCCACCTAGAGCCTGGGACCTTGTCCAGGCACCTTTCGAGTAGCTCCAAGGAGGGAGATTCCACAACCTCCTTGGGAAGCCTGTGCCAGTGCTTACAGTAAAAAAAGCATTTCCTGATGCTCAGAGGGAGCCTCCTGTGTTTCAGCTTGTTGCCTCTGTTTCACACTGTCATCCTCGTAACACTGTGGAAGGGTATTAGTCTTCTTACTAGATTCATGTTTTACATCTTAAAAGGAAAGCAGAACTAAAAAATGTAGTTCGAGATTTAATTTTTGTCAGGTTCTTAAGTAATTTTCTTAGAATAAAGACAGTGAAGAAAGATCACTAATGACTATCCTAATACCACGCTGCCAAAATATCCTAAACATACCGATCCTGTTTCTAATGAAGTCAGATCATGTCCAGTGTTCAAATATATGCTTTTGTGCCATTAAAAGCTAACCGTTGCATTTTTAATATTATCACCTATTTTTCAAGAATCTAGGAGTGAGCAGAATGCATGAACATGCTCAGATTTCTAAACTGCAATTTCAGCATTTCTTCTGAAATACTAGTTGAAGCTGTTCCAAACATAAAATATTCTGAGGTATTTTATCAGCTTCACTGTGGATGATCTTTCTGCTTTGGTCTAGAAATAAGCAGGTGGTTGTCAATTCAAGGTAATGACCTGTCCTGTTTCTGCAGCACCTCAAGTTTTTAAGAGGAAGGAAAAATAATGATCTGTCTTCTGATGTTTATAATGGATTCAAAGTGCATTTGATTATTTTTTAAAAATGTTTTCTTCTCTCTAGAAAATACGAAGGATATTCTCGTGATATATGAACAAGAAGCAGAAGAGTGGGCTCTGTATTTAAAATCTCTTTTTGGACATGTAGTGAACGAAGGAGGAATCTTACTCTACAACCTAAAGACTTCATCTTTCAAGGACCAGGAGCTATTCACTTTACCGTGTTACAAATGTAAACTCCTGATACTATCATGTGGACTTCTTAACTGCCTGAATCGAAAGAGAAGTTTTTTTCTGGAACAAGTTCTAAAACCTTCGGATAATGTGGTCATTCTACTTTGTGGGGTGGAGAATTCAGAGATTCTTTATGAGATAGTGACCTTAGATGAAGGCAGCAAAGAGATTTCCACTGATCAGGAGCCCGAGGAATATCTCTCTGTTGTTGCTGGAATTATTCAACCAGGTAATCTAAATATTAAAATTTTGTATGATTATTAAACAAATTTTCTTAGCTGTATTATTATTTGGAAGAGAAAAAAAGCAATAATTCAGATTTTCTGGAGAAATTATCTCTTCAGCTTGGTCCAGCAGTTTTAGTTTGATATATTTGTCACTGAAGTGTGATGAAACTTGTACTCTTAGCGCAGCTTCCTTTTCACAGGGAAACAGCTCTGGAAAGTTTAAAAGCTGCCACTGACACCTGTGAATCTACCATTACTACTTAATGGTAAGATTGTTGAGCTGACATACACTTGTTTCTCTGTTTCCTGAGTTTAAAAATCTCAGAAACTGTACAAAACTGCTTCAGCTCTTTCAAAATGCTGTAATGTGACAGTGCATGTATCTTTTTAGATAAATCTGGCAAACTGAAAAATAATTACTAAGACCCAGTTTTGTGGATGGCAACATTTCCCGAATGACACACAAAAGCTGTAAGAGCAGAAGTTCCCCTTCCCTTTCACCAGCCCAAGTAATAAGTCTGTACTGGAAGGACTACAACTATCCAGCTTATATGCATTTGCACACCCCTGGAAACTACAAAGAAGCATTAATGTAAAAATAGCACTTCTGAAATGTAAGAGAAACCCTTCTCCTGAGGGTGAGAGGTACTGAAATGGGAAAGTCTGTGCACACAGTTTAGTTTAACCCAAAGTTTAACTTACTAAGGCTGCACAAATGGAACCAAGAAATAGCTTTAGAAAGACAGATGCACGGGCCACTTTGGAATCGCGATATAAGTTGTGCACAGGTTTGGGGTAGATGGCTATGTGTTTTCCTCTTAGAGCATATTGGCTACTGCTTCTTTGTAGTCTCTAGGTCTCTTACTTCCTCCTAGCTCTTGCTATTTTGTCATGATAATCATCTACTAAGCAGAACATTGTGCTTATGTCTTTGTTACCAGCAAGCTGCCATTTTACTGTCAGGGGAGCTTGTGCTTGAGAAAGTTCAGGAGTTTTACTCAGAAATTAACCTGGTTTCGGATGCAGATGAACAATCAAGAATATTCTTTTGAGCACCATGGTAGAGAGACTCCAGCTGGGTTAGAGTGACCTAGCTGCGTATGCCTGCTGCTTTGTGCTTGAACAGATAAGCTTAAACATACTATAAGGCCCAGAATGTGTCTACACACTGTCTGGCTATATCAGATCAGTGCTATCAAAACTAAGTTTTAGACTCTCTTTTCCAACCATCTCCTGTTTTAACATTTCTTACTGTTCAGTATTTATTAACATTTTCCTCATTATATCTTTTTTTGAGCATCTCAAAGACTTAAAGTTTTGGGGGTAATTACAGTTGCCTGGTTTGGCTTCAGGAGGTAATGTTTACAAGTTCTGACTGTGTCTGATATGTAGCTTCAGACTGAAGTTCCTTGGCAGCTTTTTAGTGGAATGAAAACAGTGGGTCTAGACTATGCATGTGTATATACAGGAAGAAACTGGGCCCAGAGACAGTTAGTTGACTCATGCACAGGAAATTGCAAACTTTTCTGCAAAGATAAACAGTTTCCTAGAAGACAGATGATGGTTCTTTGCTTAGGTCTTTGCATTCACAAAAATATTTATTGCATCTGCCCTTGGGATTTTACTTATATTGCAATCTCAAGTGACTAATAAGTGCTCAAATGATCTTTTCATTGGCAGTGGTCAGTATCAGCATCTTCAGAGATGAATACAAAGCTGAATTAATGAATAGTTGTTGAAGGCCTCAGACAGTGTGGACATCTTTACCAGGGATGCATAGACTGTGGCTGGGATCAGGCAAGTTCAATTGATTGAACTAGATCCAGTACTGGGAGCAGTGTTGCTGCCTGATGCTTCAGGGTGTAAGCCCTGCTTCATACCTGTAGCTGAGAACTCACAAGTTTTCCCATCTCTCTTCATATGGATCATCACCTTCTGTCATTTATAATTGTTTTCAGTGCTTATCCCTCATCCCTTATATTTCAGGTTTTGGAGATAGTGATGAAAGCGCTTTCGTGTACATTCTTCATGCTGTTCTGTTCCTTTTTTCCCCCTAAACTGTTCATTGCTGTTAACGTGTTCCTCCATGCATTTCTACCTCCTTGTCTCCTCAGTATAAACAAGAGCTGTCACTCTACCAAAATCTGAAAATTAATGATGTGCTTTACTTACAATGATTACATGGCACAGCGCTGTTGTGCACTACCACAGCTAAATTCTGTTAATCCCTTAGGACAGCAGGCCATCGAGATCCTAGGTCTAATTGATGCCAGGGCTCAGGAGTGGCTTGTGGGTAGTTAGAACAACTGAACATGGATGCTAAATCAGGTTATTACCTCACAGTCCTGAAGTGTTAATACCAACATAGTTTAGGTGATAGTAATCACCACCCTTCCACTGCAGCTTTCTCCATACTCTGCAGAGTTCCTAGGCAAGGTAAGTTCTCATCTATCTCTTCTCTCCTAGATGCTATTCTCTTTGCATTGTCTCTACAGTGTGAGATGGAAAGAGTGCAAAATAAATCCAATTTTAAATGCCAAAACCTTTTGCCTACCAGATGGTGCCAATTTCATCATGTTGGAGCAGGTAGGGCTCTTTGTTAAAACTTCTTTCTTCCTCTAAAGTAGTATATATGCCAAAAATTCTAGGCAAAAAACAACACTAATTAAATTGTTCCATAAAACTAAATAAAATGAAAGATGCAGTGGTTTTTGTACTCAGCAGAGAGCTTGTTTGTCCTGTAATTTGATTCAACCACAAAATCTGAAGAGTTTGTCGTACCTATTTGAGCAGGTTCTTGGAGGAGTAAAGGGAGAACTGGGACATGGAAACTGTCCTAACATGTTTCCTGGATGGTTACAAATTTTATTATATTGACCTTCTGCATGAGGAAGAATGCAGATATTTTTATTGTTGTCAAGAGATTCCTTTAGTAGTACTTGTTCACAAAATGCCTCACTGTTTGAAACTGCTACGTTCAGATTTACAGTTGGTTTTTAATTTTGTGTAAGGACATGTTGTCATAAAAAAAGATAAATCTCTGGGAAAGAGTAGAATGCACATAAATTTTATTATTGTATGTTAACATCTAAGATGAACCAATATGACTCTAGAATTCTGACTTTGCTTTAACAGCTTTCCCTAATATTGCTTAAAGTAGAATCAGGAACCACATTTTGTTTGCACCTGTCTTTTCCTTCCCGTTTTTCTTTCTACAGCTTCCCCTTGGTCTGCTGAACTGTGTAGCTCTTTTTATATTGAGTTGACATGCTTTCAGTATATTAATTCAGGACCCTGGGGGTTTTTAGCCTAGACATAGCTGGGTTTTTTGTTTAGTCCTGAAATACTTCCACTTCAGATTTGGGCTAGCCATATGTTTAAGCAGAGGATTTGCAGATATAGATAGATATTTGCAGCTGGATATAGTTACTTAGATCTTTAAATGTCCTGAATTCCTCCTGTAGTTATTTGTGCCTCAGCACTGATGATACAAAAAGAGAACAGGTCTTTTCTAATACAAATGATTTTCTGTGACACTGTTTCTAAAGTGTGCTTACACTTCTATGAGACTTCTTGGTGGGACTTCTCAGTACAGCTCAGAAGTCTTAAGTATCCATTAGTTGCTTGCTGTTTTATTAGGTTTCATTGTTCACATCTCAACAAAACAATCCTTGTCACTTCCACTTCCAGCCTTTTCTTTAAGCAGTGGTGTCCTCTTCTTTTGCCAAAATATGAAGAGAATCTGCTTCTATAAAATTCGATAGTTGAGAACTGCTCAACAAACCTACATGTATCCATTCATTACTTGCTATTGTACCAAAAAATGAGAGGCGGTGTATAAAGTAACATAACCAAATAGAAAACTGTATCCACGGTATTTGACAGCCCAGGAAAGTTTATCAGAATTAATATGTAACTTTTACCTGAGACAGCAATATGCCATTAATTTCTGATCATTACCTAGAAAGTATTCAGTGTACCTGCACCCAATTTTCATCACCAAGAAGAATAATGTTAAGGAAACTACTTTTGCAACCACTAGTAAGGTACAGATCTGGAATAATGAGATACTAGTATTGGGTATTTGTCTCTAATAAGTAAATGTAGGACAAATAGGCTGGGAGCTTAAATTAGGGCTTAACATATGCAAATCTTCAACATGCTTAAAATATGGTGTTAATTTCCATTGTACAGGTCACAGAAAAGAGAAATAAATAACTATATTTTTACCATAAGCTTTTATGCCTCCTGTTTCATTTGTAGTGCAGTGGCATGGATTTTATTGGAATTGTACCAGAAATTTGGGTATAATGTTGAATAGTGAAGTAATACTTCACATTTTGAATCCACTGCTTTTCTTTTTCTCCTGTAAAATCGACTTCACATTGGTACTCAAATGAGTAACCAATGATGATGCATTTTCTTAGGCTGTCAGCAAGACTTGTGCTGATGAGCTAAAACCTGTAATTTAAGCAGGAACTTTATCATTGTCTTCAGTGAGCAAGTGTTTCACCTAAATTTTGACACTGACTTGGAGTCTACAAAGAAATGATGCTAAAGTGCTAACAAGAACCAAAGTTAAAGGGGAAACATAATCACTAGATTATTTAGTTTTGTTTGTGAATAGTGAATACAGCATGGTTTTCTGTGTTTGTGAACTAAAGTCTTGGTTGTAAGGATTTCTCACACGGACACACAAACCTGAGTAAATAGAGGGAAGCTGGTAGGGAGGGGAGGTTGCAGTAGATGAGAACACACAGTTGTGCCTCACTTTCCTCCTTCCTTAATGTATTTACATTCAGACAGTGCATATATCACTGCTTTAAGGCAGTGAGGTCATCTGCTTATGGAGGAGCACCTCAAATGCCAATTAAACTTTTTTATTAAACTGAAAATAATCTGTATGAATTTATTGCAAGCAGAAGAGCAGAAGGGGCATTTTGTTAGCTGAAGTATGTTATGGTATAGTCCTCATTTATATTTTGCCCTGCCAGAACTGCTCTGTAGAGACTGCTGCTAAGATTACAGATTACTAAAACTTCCTGAGATGATGCGTTTCTCCATCTCCACTCAGAATTATTGCTGGGTTGCTAGGGCAGTGATGGGGATTTGTAACAGGGATGACTGTCAACAAAAAAATGTGGTTAATGTCACTAACTTGTTTCATCTGGCACGTGATCCTGGCTATTTCAAACCAGAAGAAAAACTGAAGTGGCAGCCTGGAGGTGTCAACTGTAAATAGGATGATGAGACTGCCATCCCTTGCTGCTTGAACTGTTTTAAGTTAGTTCTTCCTTCTCTTATTTCTGCAAAATCCAGAGAAGACTTTGTCATTATATAATCAGGTTTCCTAGCAGCTCATGTTTCAATCTGTCTAGCCAGTCATGGTGACCTGTATGCATCCTGTATGTGATTTTTTTCACTCTTGTTTTTGATACTAATTGGATGAAAACTGCTTACACCTGGAAAACTGAATGCACTTGATATCTTAAAGTGAATGATTTTTAACAGCATTTAGGACAAGCTCATAAAAAGTTTTATTAATAATAAAAGTCAAATGACTAGAACATAAGCATTACTGCAATAGCATGTGCTAAATTAAGTTAATGTACTGTGATTTTACTGTTGTTTATTTAGGTTATAAATTTTTTATTTTTTAAAATGTATTAATGGATTTGTCATCATTAGTCTGCTCTTTCAAGGTTGCAAGTGGACACCATCCAAATTCATGTCTTGTTTATGGCACAACAGTCATCAGTCAGTATTTAGTTGCAGTTATGGGGCTATTTCTAAAGCTTACAAATAGTTTAGGATTTCCAGGAGATATTTTGCAGATAGAACTGCAAAATGGCTGTGTGAATCTGTAGTCTTGCATGTCCTTTGTATGATGTTTTATTGACTCTTGTCAGGTTTTGCACTGTGGTTACCAATCACAATTACTGAAAATTATTATTGGAATTAATAATTATTATTGGAAGACATCTAGAGAAGTCCTCTGGAAATGTCTTCTTTGTATATTTTCTGGCATACAAGTGTTGTTACTACCAAATTGCTATTTGTAGTTTCACCATCATGAATTTATGTTAAATTAGTGTCAGCTTCCTGGAGATAGGATAAAATAAGGGGTGGGGGGTGGGGTGGTGTTTTCCAGATTTAAAAAATTGTATCACCTATTCCTGAAAAAATGAAGTGTAACACATATTTAAGTTCACACTGAAAAAAAATACTATGATAGCAAGAGAACAACTTCTTTTTGTATAGAATACGATTTTGTTCCTGATAGGATATCTCTTCTACTTACCTAAATTGCTATGAGGATAGAACTTGGTCCAGAAAATGATATTACAGTTACAAAGTTATGTGTTCAAAAGTCAAAAAGTTACAAGTACAAAGTAGCTTATTAAACTTTAGTTATGACCCTTGTTCATAGCATTGATTGCCTCTAATTATGTAGGTGCATTCTTCCCACCCCCCTGCCAAGAACCTGCCCTCATTAGTGCACAGGATAGATAGTGCTCAGTTAATTAGCAGTTATCTTATACTTTGTTTTGTATTTGAGTTTGTGGTTGCATTATTTATGTATTGAATGCCATTCAAATCCTTCTGAAAAAACAATTATTAATTTCTTAATGTGCTTTCCTGTAGAACTCTTTTCTGTATTGAGTGCTGTCCAGACATTATTTTATTTTACCGTCACTGTACATACTAGTCGTTAGAAAGATTAGGGTGAAGCATTTCTTCCATTTCTGATACCACTCTAAGACATTACTTTTCGTAACATGACTATATAGTATTTTTAACATCCATATTCAAACTCCCTTTATTTTCAGATGCATTTGTGACTGCTCAGATGTCTGCAGGTCAGCTGTAAGGTCTTTCACAGAAAGTGCTATACAAAACTAATGAGTGCTTCTGAAAAGCATATTTTAAAAGCCTTCTAGCTTTTTGCCTCAAAACTTCAGGATGAAATTACCTGAATTCTCTAGAGCAGCAATCAGCTAATATCACTGTCCTTCCTCTCACTGGAACCCTCTCCTCATTCACTCAACACTTGTTAGTACAAGTATAACTGAATCAGAATACAGTAAACAACACCTTCCTTAAGTACAAAACCACAAGTCCGTGCCAGAGTAGGTGTAACTTGTGCACTGTCCACGGTACAGATCAATATAAAAGAAACGGTCAACAATATACTACAGAGGAGAAAGACTGCTTTTGAGTGTTTGGTTTTATGCAACCTTAATAATCCCAGGCTCTTCTTCTCATCCTAGCCTTGGTGTCTGTATCCAGTGACTTACTTTTCAGTCTTGGGCCCTTGTCATAATATTAGTTAGTAATTCTGGAGTACCCAGCATTCGGGGTCCCACAGATGCTGTACAACAGCACGTTTGTCGAGTTAGCTGGATCTCACAGTATGGAGCTCAAGCAGGCCTTATATCTCTTATGTCAGTGTTACCTCAGATATGGAAAAACAGGTGCTAACTTGATCCAACATAAAGAGTGGCATAGACAGATATTGCATAATATGACAAAGTCTCATGGTAGTTATTAAGCCAGAGTTTTTAAAATATTTGACCAGTGCTTTAGATAACATGGCCATTACTTTTTTGACCCATTACTGAGAGCTCTAGCCAGATTTATTGTATTATCAAACAGAGCCCTGCACAGTTGTCTTGTCTTCCAAGCCTCTGCATCCGTTTTCCATTTCTCATTTTCCTGCACATGATTCCATTCTCCTTCCTTTTGCTTAACTTCTCTCTGACTTTTTGCTCTATTTACTGTCAGGGAAACTTCTCTTCTTCTTCAACCCTATATTTCTTACCTACTATACTAAATTGAAAAAGTCAGTCACGGTGATGTTTATTGAAAACACATAAATACTGTTCCATGTAAAGATCTCTCTAGGCTTGTTCCTCTCCATTAGCCCTTGGATTTTATTTTTTAAATTATTTTTTCTATCTGCAAAACCATAGCTTTAAAATATCTTACATCTAAAATAGCATACAGAATTTAATCTAAAAGAAGAAAGTGGAAATTGCTGTAATGGTATTTCCTTATTTCTGAGGGCTTAGGTTGCTTGTCCATTTGTTTTCTTGACTCTCTTATTTTTGCAGTTCTTTCTTTTTGTCTTTTTCTCATCTTGATTTCCAATGCCAATATCTTCTTTAGAGTAAGCTAAACATTCTGTGAAGCAATAAATGAAGTGATGATCACTGTCATCAGAGTTGATGACCAGTTACAGATATTTATGTTGATACCATTAAAGAATTGCTCTTTCTCCCTAGGTAAGCCACAGAATGAAAATCCTGAAGACTCTTTGTCTTACATCTATGAAGCAGTTCTTGCAGATGGTGAGTTGAATTCCCCTTGCCTTTCTCAAATAAAGCCAGCACCCTTCAGAAAATTAAATTTGTTTTCTTACATGTTGTCAGACATGAAAGATAATAAACTAACCTTACCATAGCATACAGTTGTGAGGAGGAACATGCCTTGTTCTCAAACATCCACCCACACATCTATACCCACATATTCTTGTGAGTGGTTTGAAATGGGGAGGAGATTCAACAGGGAGGTTTCCTTTTTCGTTTAATTTCAGAGTAGAGAAAAAGGAAGAGATGGAGAGCTTTCCTTTTCTGCTCCCAGCATAAGGAGTTTCACTTGTAGTAAAGAGAAAGCTGATTTGAAATTTCAGATAGGTCAGTCCTGCTCGCATTACATTTGCAGCATCATTAATTGGCAGCCAGTGGTTGGGAGAAACTCTGCATCATGACTTCAGCACCTGTTGACATTTACCATTCTGGTTTATTTATATTTGGGAAAACCCATAAAGAGTCTCAGTAGGGAAAACAGCCTGGCAAAATCTCCACCTGCTTTTAGTAAAGAGTTACATGACATGTTTCCTATCCCCAGTTCTTACTTAAATAATTTTATTTCTGGGTTGACACTGTTGTGAAGTGATCGGCTTAACAGCAACAGCATGCTGACTGATGAAAAGGACAAGTAAGTTATTTCAGAATTCCTGGCATAGAAGTTCTGTGCTGCTGGACTCTGCGGTTACTGGCTCTGTGGGTCTGTTTTGCTGGCAAGGTGTAAGGGCAGAAGGATGCTGCAAACTCACTGGCTCTTCCTTACTGTCAAAAATTCAATATACATGTCAGTGATGTATGGCGTTTAGAATTTTAGCTTCTTCAGTTCATTTCAAGACACGAGCATCAACCTGTGTGCTTTTAAATACTTCAGTCATTCCTGCTCACCATGCTTTGCTTCACAGTGCGGAACAATCTTGGAGCATGTGGATTGGATTCCTTTCAGATAAAACTAAAAGGGAAAGTGCATTCAGGGAGCTCGCTGGGTGCACATCAGACACGAAAAGGTGTGCATTCTACTGTGCATTCTGGTCTGATCCAGACCAGAACTAGTTGGAAATATGCCCCTTTAAAATGTGTATAGTGTGGATGGGAGTATTTAGCACCAGCCGTTTCTCTCTACTGAATCTTCTCCTATTAGCTCCCCCTCCTTTCTGATAGGGACTGTGCGTGACTTTCTTGGCATCTCGCGTGTATTAGTGGGATCTTAAGCAGAAAGCTGCTGTAAAGCTGCACTGTTTTATCCCTACAGACCTATTGTTAAGGTTTCTAAGGATGTCTCTTTTTGTTCTGTGTTGAATGTGCCATGGGTCGGTACATTGTAGAAGTTCATTGGTAGAAAGAAGGCTTTTTGTCATTACTGGCTCATCATCTAGGTGCTCAATAAACTGGCATCAATGTTCCTCATTCAGGATCATGGTGTCCAAAAAATGAGACAATAAGAGGGTGAATGGTCAGAGAAAACAGAGAATCACAAGAAAAGAAAGGACTGGGAGATATTCCTCCAAGCTACTCCTGCTTTAAACCCTGACTTTTTATATTAATCCTTTTCTGCTTTTATATGGGAACTTTTAGAGCAGCTTTAAGTCCAAGTTTCCCATCAGATGAATGGTTGATATTGTCATCAAGTGAATTGATGATTTTCCAGCTGAAAGTCTTGCATTAAAAGCAAAAATTTCACTTGAAATCTTTGCTGAAGTTTCCTGGACCCCAGTTCTCAGTCAGATTTTGGCAGTCATCTTGATAGCACTGATTGTATGTAGCCTCTGCTGGTTAATGATGTCTGGTTATTGCTAAGAGGACCAGAGCAATTCTTAGCTGCTGTGATGAGTGAAAGGGCCAACTAGAAAAGAGGGATCTCCAATAATTGTATCCTGTATGTAAAGTTAAGACTGACTACTGAATGAATGTAAGGAGATAGGTGGTCAACATTTCTTCTGTGCTGGTGCAACAGGGAGCAGTTATCTGATCCTACTGCAGAACTTTGGAGGGAAAATAAGCCCAAGAATTGAAATGATTGCAGTTTCCAAGATTCAGCATGTCAGTCTTTACAAAGTGAAGAAAGCTAAGATGGCAGCTGCAAATGAGCCAGTGTTTGTGCCCTGCAGAAAGTAGGTGAATCTTTGGATAACCAGACAGGATTTGACTTTGGATGAATTGTGAAAAAATGTTTCCAGGGACTCTCCTCTTTGCTTCTTCCTTAGAAGGAAGTGTATGCAGAGCTAAATTCTATGTGTAACACAAAACAGAAGTGTCAGGAGAAATTATAAACCAAGAAAGGATTTTTGCTAGAACCCTATAACATCATAAAAGAACAGCACTTTATGTAAGGTCTTAAGTGGAGACTTCAGCTGAAAGCTGAAGTTTGAGTACACAGATATTGTACAAAAGAAAGGATAAGTTAAGGGAAGATGGAATTTAGACTTGAACTGGAAGTTGAACAGATCAGAAGTATAAAGCTAAGTAAGAAGTCTAAAGCAACAAGGGTGGAAAGAGCAGCAAGTGGATGACAGGACATGCTAAAAAAAACCCCTGACAATCGTAAACAAACTATATACGATAAAGCAAACATAGATGGGGAATGAGCAAGCGCTAACAATCAATGAGAAGTGATTGACTGAAGTGAATTGTGCAAGGCCTTGAGGGAAAAGGTCAGACAGTACATTGGAAAGTGGAAAACCAGTATAATCCTTGAGATCCTTTAGGGAAATATGAGCTATAAGCAGATGTGAAAACAATTGATTTGCTAGTGAGTAATGGAAAAGATCCAGTTGTGGATGTTAATCACTATGATAGGAATGTATGAGAACTCATTCCTGTAGGTGATAACTGAACAAATCGTCTCTTTAACTACTCACAAATGTGTTTACTTTATTTCTGGTTTCTATATAAGACGACTTACTTTTATTACTAGAAATCTGTATTTTGAGAAATTCCCTTCTGATTCCTTAGGAAATTTTCTGCTCCCCAAAGAATCATTATTTATAATTTGTAATAAGGTTGGAAAAGTGAAGCAATCTTACTAGGATCTGGGTTTACAGCCTTGTAACCACATGGAAAAAATGTGAATGCCTTATTGTGGAATTGGCATTCATAATTTTACCTGCAAAATAGAGCTAACATCAGAATTAGATACCCATTAGATGATAGCTTCAGAAAAGGCTGTTCCCCTTCTGCAGAACAGCTTTGTCTTTTTTAACATTTACCATTAAGGCTTGTATCCTAGCACTAATTAACTGGAGCAATTAGGGGTAGGCAAGTGAAGCACAAAAAGATTATTTGAAAGAGTGTAATAGCTGTCTGCCTGTTCAGTTTAACTGCAGACATCTTTTGGTCCTCCTCAGAGGTCTCATCAAACTAACATATATGTGCATACTGTTACCTGTATCCTTTATCAAACTAAACTAGAGAAAGGTCAGCACTTAAACAAAATAGATGGCATCCCTTCTGCAGATAAAGAATAACTATCAGAGTACCTCTGCTGAGCTTTTTTTTCCTATACTGGTATCTGAAATTCTGTTTTAGTAAAATGTGCCTATTCTGGGGTCTGATTTGTGAAGGTGTTGGATTAAAGGACAGTGTTTCAAAAGATAAAGAATTCAGATTATTTTCCTATTCATAATCCTAACAAAAGGAAAATAATCAGGAGTTGGAAAGCAAGCATTGTTTTCAGATGTGTCTAAAAATACCACTCTTGATAGTGTTCCTGAGAGACCAGTGTACCTTTTAGCCTGCTTTAAGGGTCAATAGATCTTAGCTATTTCAAACCAAAGGTGGGAGTAAATTGCAAAGCAGCCTGTCCCCTAGTGAGTCAGTCTTGCTGACAACTCACTTTTTTTTTCTTCTTTAATACCAAATGTGTCTGGCATGAGTCTTTATGCTGACAGCAGCTGTGGCAGCATGGCACAGGGAGATGTGGTCCCTTAGATAGACAGGTCCCATGTAATTTAGAGCTGTACAGATCAAGAACAGCATCATAAATTTCATCCAGGCTTTGATAAGAGCCCTGTGCAGGTATTGGAGCTCTGCTGTCACACTCAGACTAAGATATGCTATTTGGCAAATGAGCTGCTGCAGTCCAAGCCAGCTTCTGTTACCAGATTGATTTAAATGATGCTATAACATGGACTATATTGTCTTGTGTTAGTAAATGTTTGGGTCCTATTAATAATGTGTATCCTGTACTTGGAATAGGGTGAAGGCTGAGAATGCCAGCCACCAGCGTCTCTCCCCAGAGCCTCTCCTGATGCCGTTGTTTAAGGACTTTTCAGATATGTTAAACTTCATGACCTTTCATCCCTGTCATTTTTTTTAACTTTGTTGACTGTCAGGAATATTCTTCATCAAGACAATAGCTTCAAACATGGCCAAGAGGGGAAAGTTTGGCTACTTACAAGTATTTTCTTGAAGGTGATACCTGTAAAAACTTAAACCAGGCCTGAAATCTGAGCATCTGTCCTGCCTGCCAGTTGTGCTTCCCTGAAGTAGAACTTGATTATAAAATGCTCCTCTCTATCTGTGTTCTTTTTTATCTATATAATTCAAAATGTGGCCACGTGCCACTTCTGTGTCCAAGCACAGTGTGCAGTTTGTGCCAGGCCACTTAGAAGAGGCTTGAATTGTAGTTTAGAGGTAATAGAGCCACTGGAGTTGGCCCCTTTGGAATAATAAGGAAGTTGCAGGACTGTTTTATCAGGCAAACAAATTTTGTAGGTCTTCTCACAACCCTTGGATGCCTCTGCTATCAGTCCTTTTGTCTTCAGTGGTAATTTCAGTCAGCAACAGGAGGTTAGTCAATCTCTGTTGTTGTAACAGCCCGTCTCAGATTTTGGGTAATGTTTAGTGCTGTATAATCCTTCACTGAAACAGAGGTGAGATATGTGTGTGCTGATACCACAGAGAAATGGAACAAATGCCAAAGTGTTCTTCCTGTGATAGAACTCCAGTAGCTCTTTAGTGGATAGATGGACTCTTTAATAAAACAT